CCAGCAAAACAAAAGCCTTATAATTCACTGGGCCAATTGTGCATCCTGATTAGGGGGTTAAAGAATTTATTTCCAATGCCTATTCAGATCAGCTGGTACTGTCTAACACATACTCTATTACAGACTGTTTTTCACAATGGTCTTATCCAGTTTGTTGAAGGACATTAAGATACCAATTCAACACGACATTGATTCAGTGTTGATTCAGGCAGTTCATAAAAGAGCCGGTAGAATGCTCTTGGCAAAACAGCATCCACAAGTTGAAAAGATTTGTCAAAATTGGACAAATTTGTACACTTAACTATAACATTTTTCAGTATCTTTTGAGAACACAGCTACAATACTGATTCTGCTGTGACAGTTATCAATATCAGCAGATATTCTCATTTGACATTCCCTTCTTTTATTAAACAAGAGTACAGGTTGTGCTGCTGTCTCTAAGTTTGGGAGTCTGTACCAGAGATCACATACTGCTAAGTACAGTTTTTGTTTGTTTGAAAAGAAGCAACTGATAACATGCTGGCCTATTCTCCAGACAAAATTCTGCCTCTTTCTTTAGGAAGTCTACCTGTGATGACAGTTTGATTATTGCCCAAATATTTTTGGAGCATTAAGGAAGATACAGAACCTGCTCTGCTGCACTTAGAGAGAAATAAACTATTATACCCAAGTTATTTTCTCACTTCCATCGCTCAACTGACTCCCCAAAGTAGAAAAAACAGCCGTGTTATCTCTTGAGCCACTGAGACAACAGCCAAAATATTTGCACAAAGAAAATTCCTTAATCACAGCAGAAATTTTAGGGGAAAAAAATTATGAAATTCTCAAAAGGAATGCCTATGAAAATAATTTCACTGTTACCAAATGATCTATCTAATCATAACTGTAATGTTAACCAGTTGCAGATAACTGTTCCAAATAAACTCATGAGATAATATTTTATAAACCTTCAAAAGGTAGGGTAATTTGAAGGAAATCACAGCTTATTAAAGGTTTAGGAGCAGAAACTAAATTCATCCTGTTAATCTCTTTTTTCCTGTTCAAAGTTTAATATTACTATAAGCAAGCACATGAAGCATACAATTTAAGATTAACAACTGCAACTACCTCAAGGGATTTTATACTAGTTTTCATTAACAAATGGTAAGAGATGAAAACAGTGACTTAAAACAGAGACAAAGTAGTTTTTCTGTCCAAAACATAAATTCTCTCTGATCTAAGAGAATTTATTCCTCCTTTCCCATGTTTTCTCTGGTTTGTCTGGTCATTTACAAAACATAGGATAAGTTATTTGCCTTAGTCTGAAGGCCTAATAATCTTTCCACCTCTGTAATCCATGAAAGCTTTTCTAATGAATCACTGAGTAATGCTGTACACTACCTTAAAAAAAATGTAAAAAGTTCCATTATACTTTCTACAGTAGTGCTATTGAGATTTTCAAAGTTGGCTAATGCATTTAGATAAAATATTCTTTAATATTCTAAAAATTTTTTTTTTTTACATTATCATTCTTTCTTACACCACATTTGAAGGAAGAAAACAGTGATGTGAGCAATAAAGCAATTAAAAATACATTAGTGTCTCTATAAAAGCTTAAATCTGAGCATCTGGAAGGCTTCTACTGAGTATAACCTTGTACAGATAATCGCAGAGAATTTGACGGCATGGGAGAATTATAGGCAAACAGAAATAACATGTAACGAAAAGCTGTTTCAACAAAATGGTTTTCTCTTCAGAGGAACAGAAACTGAGTTCTGGTATAGGTACATCTTAAAGACATTTAGATCAAGTCCATGGAGATAGTAAGCAGAGATGAAAGCATTGTTTAGTACTGCAAAAGTAATTCGAAGTAATTCCCATTAGTGGGAATGACAGACCAGTGATATGCATCCAGATAAGCTGCTTCCCTTTTTAATAAACTGAGATATTTACAAGAAACAAAACCAAAACACAGATGTAAGTGTACACACTCAAGCATACTCCTTTTCTTAAATACTATGGGTTTCATATTTCATTTACAGCATTCTCTGTTATCGCAGAGCAGGTAGCAACAGGGTTTTTTTGTAAAATTACTCAAGAAGTAAAATGTCATCTTCCTCTAAAGCACTGCTGTCAAAATCAGGGGAATATATAGGAAAGCTAAACAGAGTGGAGAGCTGAGTAGAGACACCTGGCTATTTTAATTACTCTTGCTTTTCAGCACTACTGCAGTAAAAATTGGGAGTCAAAATCATGGACTAGGACCACACACTGTTACATATTCCTCAGAAAAAGATCTGTGAGAGTGGTAAAAGGGAAAAATTATTAGAGAGGTAGGCGAAATTTTCATTATAAATCTCTGTCCTTAGCTACATCACATGGCTTTAACTATTTCATGCCTAGGTTTTCCAGATGTATTCCAAAGCTCTACACCCCTACAAAACACACACATTCAAGACTAGCTTCAATCCCTGTTTTCAGCTGCATTATTAGCAGGTTTACATTCAATACAAAACATTCTCAAGCACAACAGCACCCAGATTTCCTGCTTCAAGATGTCCTGACTCCCAGAGATGATCACTTCCTCTTCCCTGTATGCTGACAATGTGCTATTAAGCTCAAAGAGCCAACCAACATAATTTCTCAGCAGAAGTAACACTCCCAGCCTACTACATAAGCCTAAAAATCTATTTTTTTAATCAACTCTAGAAATAATATTTTTCTCAGGAAAGGTAAAGTTTTTGTTCACAAAATGAACATTAGAGCAAATAAACACCAGAAGAATGAGGAACACTAAAACAAGCAAGCCATGAAGGCAATTTACAGCTTTTAAAACACAACATTTTTTTATAATCAATAGTCGAACCTAGTTAAGAAAAACAAAATCTGTCCTGTGTTCCTTCTACCTTCACCTGACTAGTCATTCCTGTGGAATTAGTGGGACAAGAAGAAACAATTTTTATCTGTGTATTTTACTCTAACTTTATTCCATACAGAGAGTAAAATTCTGTATGACTTGCAGTATCAAGGTAGGCTTGGGGACATCGAAAAAAAACCCCACAAAACTGACTGCACCTCGGGCACTATGCCTGCATTATGGATTTACTATTCTGATTTGTCACATTTAAATGAGCCTAGATACATAAAACAACATCTAAAAGGGGAAATGCTTTTCTTTAGTTTCCTTTATCATTGTTTCTCTGTATTACACAATAAATAAAGTTAATACTACCAGCCTATGCAACTACTGCTTATCTCTGAAAAGTCATTTGGTTGACAAAGCAAACAATATACAACAGTTGTTCATGAAACAGAAGTGTCTTGGCTGGAGGACAGCCTGGGTTTTCACACTATTTGGACACAGCATCAAGGCACCTAAGAAGCAACTGTGCAAGTAACGGGAAAAGTTACACAAAGCAGCACTGTTGCTAAGTATTAGCTGACATTTCATTGTGCCACTTTGCTTTATATCTATCATAGGAGAAAAAACTGAGCCTACCATAAACGCCTTCCATTTTTCTTCTGTTTAGGCTCAACCCTGATGACAAGGACATTACAGCTGAAGTAATACTCTTTTTTTCACCTAGCACTCAATGTCTATAATAGGGTCTGTAATATGGGCATTACATGCAACTTGGCAATCTCTTTAGCAGAGAAAAGGGCCAGGGTCCCAATTAGTACCTAAAAAACCCTGCTGTAAATGACTTTATCCCTAGATAGCGCTTGTGATTCACCTGGTGATGTCCCATGACCACCAATCTCTGCTTATATGTCCTGCGAACCTGAAAATATTCTTTCCTGCATTCACAGATGACTGTGAGCAGTACTTCACATCATATAGAACAATCTTTTTTTAAGAAGGAAACATTTTAATACATACTTAGTTGCCTGTGTGTTAATGACTCATTTCCTCCAAAATGCTGCCAGACATTTTTATTTCAGTTATGTTCCTTCAGACTTCCTTTCACCCCTTTAATTAGAATCTGACTCTAACATTGTGATGATCAGCAGAAGTTAGAAGTAAGAAGGTTGGAGGGGTTGGAAGAGAAGACAAAAACTATTTCTCATTATTTTAATGGAGTCAGTTCAAAAAAGGTCAGTTGAGCTGGAATCTAAATAATAATGAGCTGAAGTTAGACTATATATGTTCCAAATGAATTTATCAATCCATGGACAAAAGATGTATTTAAATGCCCTTCACAGGTGAAAACTGAATTAAGAAACAAATTCTTAATATTCATCTACAACATGCAAGCTTATGACAACAGTGAGCTTATATATTATAAAGCAATCACCTCATGTCTTCTGTCTCCTTGTCTTTTTCAATCATATGCTGCACAGTACATGATCTAACCACAAACTGTATTTCTCATAGAATCTGTTCGCTGTAGATGTTCAGTGAATCACATCAAAATCCTTTATACATCCTATTAGTCTTCTCATTGATTGCATCTAAATTTGGCATGAACACTAAGTATCAATAGTCATCGAAATATGATTTTGACTATGGATAGGAATGAGCACAGGCTAGCCCCATTCGGTGATATTTAACCCAAAGATCCTTAAGACAGTGTGCTTGTGAAAGAACTACCACAATAGGGATAAGATTTGTTGCCAGAACCAGTGCAATGAACATGACTGATACCTCTGAGACTTAAAAGAGCACAGAGGGAAA